AGTCTTCGACTGCGCCTCGGGCGTCTTTCGGGATAAGAGGTGTTTTATTAACCTTTTATTAACCCTCATTTAAAGGAGCCGGCGCCGAGTGCCTGCAGGCGGAGCAGAACCCAGGTTTAGAGAGGTCCCTTACCTGCACTACATAGTTGTACTGGGTGTTTGAAGAAGGCTACGCATGCTACAAATGTGGTTGTGCTGATCGGACTGTAGAAAAGCTGCTGGGTCAGGACATAAGCCCCGCCCCCAAGGTGATTTACTCATCACCTGCTACCTCACCTTTGGGAAGGCTCTCTGTAAACCTTGTTCTAGTTCATCCCAAAGCTGTTGTGAGGTCATGTACAGGTTTCTATTGTAAGGAAAACAAACGAAAGTGGAACTTCCACCATAAATGTGGAAATTCGTTGTTTATAAAAGAGCTCAAGACAAAGCAACCAGATTGTTCTCCACATAAGGACTGAGAGGAAATCTCCTCGTGTCCTACTGCAAAATCAGCCTGAGTCAGTATTTATTCCAGAGGTTGAAGAGCGGGACAGGAGGCGTCTGACACCCACTGAACACGCTTTGTGTGTCAGTGTTAAACTCTTCCTGTTCAGCAGACGAGTGGGCAGCGAAGCAAGCGGAACACGCTGATACCTCATTAAAACGGGGACACAGGGTTCATCGGGCGAAGAGCTGCTCTAATAATCCAGAGCCAATGATCCAAATGCACAAATCCCTAATTACTGATTTTTAATTTGAACATTTTCATATGCTCTCCAAAACACCAGGAAGCCAATCTGAGGAGATTTAATTGGCAGCTGTGACAAAAAAAAACAGTTTGAGGAAAAAAGAAACTCTGTTGTTTTTGTTTGGATTTTTCTTTGGGGGGGGTCAAACTACATCACAGACTTTATAAAATATTATGTGAAATTTTGATCTAATACCTATTCACTTTAAGGAGATGATATAAAAAATAGTTAATTACATTCTAACAGATATCAGCTGATCTTGATAAGCCTGATATTTAAGTGTGAATCAAAGTTAGAGTCAGGGTACGAATCACAGTTTGGACATGTTGTTAAATGCACATATTTCCCATTACATATAAATAAATATCCCAAATGTTACTTGAGACCAGTCTATGTTTTTCTACCTGCAACTGTTTCCTGGATCGAAGCTATTCCTTAAAATGAATTGAACTTCCATGACTGACCAACAGGTGGCAGTGTTACGGGCTATAATAAAACGTGCATATACAAGAAAACAGCTTTTGAATAACTGCATGAAAGAGCTGGAGTCACATGAGGCCGTCTAGCTAAAACTTCTCCACAGTGAGGTGAGAAACCGAGGCATCACTGTGGCCTGTGAAGGCTCTCAGTCATCCACGTCATTGTAGGAAGGAGCTTGGAAAGGAAAGCGTCCGGACTTCTTTAAGTTTCCTTGAAAACGTTTCATCCGAGAAGCTTCTTCAGTTGTCAGAGGTGTGTAGCCGGTGGTGGAGGGTCCCAGATTAAAATGCTGTGGGAGTGTCTGAATGGACTCTGTTATTCCATGAACTTTCTCGTGAAAAACACGAAGCTCCGCCCCTTCTATAAAAACTCTACAGAGCTCATATTTCACAGTAAACTGAAGCAGGTCCAGTGTTCATGCATACTTACTTACTTACTTGCATACTTCCAGGCTGTGCGGTCGGATGAACGTCATCCTCGGCTGTGTCAGACCCTCTCCGAGGAGACGAACCTCCTGAACTGGTGCCTGGATGCTTCCGCACAGAAACATGAAATGTGCATAAACTACGTACAGTAGGACTGTTTGCCAGAACACCGGGCTACTGTGAATAACGAAACGATCATATGTACATGTAATGGTGACCGTTCAATGAACAGCACTCACCGACGCATCACCCTCCCTACCCCGGATCCAACGCCACCTCCCCTCTGATGTGGACATCGGGTCAGCTGGAGGCGCAGTCAAAGATTGCAGCGGTCCCAGATCAGATGTACACACTGGAACTCTTTCCCATGTTGCTGTCTGTGTTTATTGTGCTGTGGTGTGTTGATATCTGTGCATTCCTGTATTATCCTTCTGTGTTACACATTTCGATGTTTTCCTCGCTACCTGGCCTGACCTGTCTCCCCAATGTGATGTTTGTGTATTGTATGTACGGTCGGCAAGGTCTGTCATCTCGGTCTGTGGGCAAAAGACCTGCAGCTGACAAATAAAGGCTCTCTCATCATCATCACTGTGGGGCGAGGGTGTAAACACGTGGATTCAACTCTGGAGTCAGAAGTTGGTCTCAAGTCTTTTCTTTTAACATGACGTACATTATGGGATAAAGGAGAATCCGATCAATGGCCATCTTTGTTGTGGCTGTCTGTTGCATTATCATTTCCTGCTCAGTGTTTTGTTCTCTTGATTTTTCACTGAAATAAAGCTGCAGCAGATAGGGATGGGTATCGAAAACCGGTTCTTGTTGAGAACCGGTTCCCACTGTTTCAATTCCTTGGAATTGTTTGCCATTTTTGCAAACGATTCCCTTATCGATTCCAGTCGCCCCGAATGACGTCACCACGTTGCGGAGCGTCATTTACCTGGCAGGAAACAGGCGCTCAAACGCTCAAAAGTTTGGTTATACTTTACGAGAACGGATGACAACAGGGCAACTTGCAATACTTGCAAAGTAGATATTTCATTTAAGGGAGGAAACACTACGAATATGCAAAAGCATTTGCTCACAAAACACGCGATGACCTTAAATGAATGTCGTGTTTTTAATTCCGGACTCGTGAATCTCAACCCAGCAGCAGCGGTAACGTTTGCACGTCCTCTCCCGTTAATGCGGCAGGTAAATAATCAACTAACAGTGCATATTATGTTAGCGCGATCTGCCTTATTACAAACCTGCCATTACTGTGCATTTAGTGACCATGATGAGACAGAGTCTGGCTCAGATGCTGGCAGCTCTCGCTGCAGTCTGCCGGTAGCGTCTCCTTTCAGGCAGGATAGACGAATGTCACCGAGCAGAGACTCAGTTTGTGGTCAAAGGCTTGCACCCGTTTGCCACAGCAGATGATTTTCAGTAAGTGAATGTGTTTAATTGTAGGCAGGGACATTACTGGATATTCTTGTGTAATTGCTACAGAATAATTTATGTTATACTTTGTTATTGCTACAGAAGAATATTTATTTTATTATTTTACATTTACAATTTTTTCCTGGGGACCCTGTGACACCCCATTGAAGAGCCGTAGGCTGGATCTCTTAAGATCTCACTGTTGGGTTTGTAAGGCCATGTTACTCCTAAATTTCTATCTTGTTCAAAGAGAAGATATAAAACAAAGTTCTAAGCTAATCGACCTTAGTGTTCTCCTTTTTTTTAAAGAATCGAATCGTTAAACAGAATCGAAAATGGAATCGGAATCATGAAAATCTTATCAATACCCATCCCTAGCAGCAGAGCTGGTGACGTTCCTCTGAGTGTTCGTGCCGGGCTGTTAAATCCTCCTGTGTGGGGGGGAAAAGCAAAGCTCCCACATTCTGGGGTGAAATCGATGAAGCCTGCTGGCACCGAGCAGCTGGATCACAGGAGCATGATGGGAAAATGTTGCTGTGTGCCAGCTGGCTCACTGGACCTTCATCTTATCTATGCGTGGATTCATTAACTGATGAACATGTGTCAGGTAAGTAAGCCACTTAACCGCATGTAAGCCAGGAAGTGGTTTATTTATGGCACTTTTATTGGCTGCTGAGCACGTCCTGCATCATCCCGTTACAATAACCATCGGACCCGTAACGGGCAGGTTTGGAAGGACTTGGAGCGCAGAGCACATGGACAGACAGGGTGGCATCGAGTCATTTCAGTAACACAAATTTACGCAAAAATGTACACATCGAACACGCCGTCTCCTTCATCTTAAACAACAACGTTTCAAATAATTATTCAAATCCATTCAGGCTGAATAATGAATGAATTTCGAGTTTGTACAACTCTGCCGACAAAGTTTGGAAGCTGAAATTTTAAATTAGAACAGAATGCAGTCATTTGTAAATTATCTGAAATTATCTGACTTGAAACGAAATGCTGAAAGGCAGAAAATGTGATATTTATGAAGATGTTACTGGGATGAGTGTCTGGAAAACTTTCTCTGGTTCGTCATAAATCATCAGGACTGACTTCACGCCAACACTAAGCTGTCTAAAGAACCAGCGGAGGAACCACGTCTGTCAGTCTGAAAGGTTACAGAGACATATTTGAGAGCTGTTATCCACACATGGAGAAAACATGTGCTCAACCTTCCCAGGACCGACCAGCCAACAGCAAAGACCTGCAGGCCGTTTGAGTCTCGTCACATCTGCATCAGACGAACAGCGTTTCATAAAGAGAGCGTCCAGCAGCAGCCGCGGCGGTGGTGCTGTGATGGTCTGGGCTGCTCTGCTGCTTTAATGAATTAAATCTGATTCATAAGAAGTGTCGGCTCAGAGATGGCGACAGCTGCGCGTTTCATGTTCGTCCTAGAAGACGCGCTGGAGAGGAAGTCAGTGTCTCTGCTCGGAGACTGGATGGACGTTTTTTCCTCTCACTGAGCTTTTTAACCTCCGTGAAACTTTGCCTCATCTTAGCTTGAAACAAAAATAACTCATTGGCTGCTGTAGCAGGAGTTTAAAGTGATTTTCTTCTCGAGGTTTTACTGTCATAACGCATTCAGAATAAGAGCTAATAACTCAGGACGATGAAAATAATATACTGCCAATAGAGAGAGAGAGAGAGTGTGTGTGTGTGTGTGTGTGTGTGTGTGTGTGTGTGTGTGTGTGTGTGTGTGTGTGTGTGTGTGTGTGTGTGTGTGTGTGTGTGGTGTGTCCCCAGTGGTGTGCACTGCTGACAGCTAACAGCGCATCAGTTGTTTTTTTTTTTTTTTTTAGTTGTTGTTTTTGTTCGGGAGGAAGCTAAAAAACACTGAGTCAGTCTCTCTCTCTCTCTCTCTCTCTCTCCCTCCCCCCCATATATATCAGGAACGCGCCTCCGCGGGCACCAGCAGCATTTAAAGCGCGTTGCGCGCACACGGCCCGCCAGTCTACCCTCGGCGGCCGTCGGGACCATGCGCACGAGGAGCTCCGGGCAGCTCGCCGCGCCGGCACCCCGTCTTGTGCCCTCGCGCGGGACGTGACGCTCACGAGCGGCATGGCGGAGCCGTGGAACCAGAGCGCCGCGTGGAACCGCTCCTCGGCGGGCACGAGCCGTTTCAGCAGCCTGGACGACATCGACGTGCCCGCGGACGGCTCCCCGGCGCTGCGCATTCTCATCTCGGCAGTGTACTCGCTGGTGTGCGCCGCGGGGCTGTTGGGAAACTTGCTCGTCTTCTTCCTGATGAAGGCGCGCGGCGGCCGGAAGAAGCGCTCCAGCATCAACCTGTTCATCCTCAACCTGGCCGTCACGGACTTCCAGTTCGTGCTCACGCTGCCGTTCTGGGCCGTGGACACTGCGCTGGACTTCAGCTGGCCGTTCGGCAGCGCCATGTGTAAGATAGTGCTGACCGTCACCGTCATGAACATGTACGCGAGCGTCTTTTTCCTCACGGCTATGAGTGTCACGCGCTACTGGTCGGTGGCCTCGGCGCTGAAGGACCGGACCCGGCGGCGTGTGTGCCCGGTGCGGTGGGTTATCGCCGCGCTATGGCTGTCCGCGGCGCTCGCGTCCCTGCCCACGGCGATCTTCTCCACGGTGAAGAGCGTTGCCGGCGAGCGCCTGTGCCTGCTCGCCTTCCCGGATGGCCAGGCGTGGCTCGCGCTGCACCACCTGCAGAAGATCCTCGTGGCCTTTGTGTTCCCCATGCTCATCGTCAGCGCGTGCTACCTGCTGCTGTTGCGCTTCGTGCGTCTGCGCAGCATGAACAACAACCAGGTGAAGCGCAGGTCCAGGGTCACGCGGTCCGTCACCATCGTGGTCCTGTCGTTCTTCGTGTGCTGGATGCCGAACCACGCCATCACCTTCTGGGGCGTGCTGGTAAAGTTCAACTTGGTCAACTGGGACAAGACCTTCTACATGGTGCATACATACGTGCACCCGGTGACCGTGTGCCTCGCGCACACCAACAGCTGCCTGAACCCGGTGCTGTACTGCCTCATGCGCCGGGAGTTCCGGAAGAAAATGAAGGACCTCTTCTGGAGGATCTCCTCTCCCTCGGGGCCGAGCACGTGCCACCTGCGGCCGTTCTCGGGGACGGTAAGGGCGGAGCCGGATGACACGCAGGTGGCCATCCCGCTGAACAACGTGGAGACGGAGAACTGCCGCCTGTCGGTGCTCACGGACCAGTGCGCCACGGACGCGATGCGCAGGTGAAGAGATGGATGGACCGCGCCGGGCTGCAGAGGACGTGACGTGTTTTGCTCGACGGGCGGCTCCGGACTTTTGTGACTTTGCATCAAAGGGATTTATAAACGCTCACAGTCTGAAGCTGTGGCGTGGACAGAGAGCGGGGCCGTGCGTAAATACGCGGCGGCGCGTAAAAGCGCACAGAACCATCTCTGTCCTGAGACGTGTTCAGGATCAGTTCTCTGCAGACTTGATGCTGGGGGTTGTCGGGTGAGGGTCATGCTGCTTCTGCTGCTTCACGCGTTCTTCTGTGGAGTGTTCTTGGCGCTCGTGGCTGCTGTGTGTTCTGTAACTACATGAATGTAAAAAAAAAATCTAAAGAAACCTTAAAAACATGTTTCAGAATAAAAGTATTAGTGTTGGCATCAGTGTCGTTGCTGTTTGGTGACCGCGGACAGGCAGGGGGGGGGTCCGGTCTACTGACTGCTTGCTCGCTCACATGACTCACAGGCGCGCGCTTGCGGTTCCTCTCTCTCCATCTCGGCAGTGTTCATGGAGAGGAACCAGGGAAACGTCGGAAACGCTGATAAATGACCGCGCTGTGGACTTTCTGTGACCCCGCATATGTTTTATAGTGTGGATAGTTTCCTTTGCCGGTGACGGCAGCAGTAATTAAAACCTGATGTCTGGATCCATCAGCGCGCACAGCCTCTGCTCTCCACACGGAAAAGTACTCAGGATGTTTTCCTCTCAGAACCCACGGGAGCTGGGAGGTACTGGATCCTGAGTTTAGAAGCGTCAGATTTTCTGCCGAACCGGGGATCATGTTCTCTTTCCGTGTTTCCGCTCCGTCCGGTCCTAGAAGTCCTCGTTCGCTGTGAATGCGCGGAAGGTTTTGGACCTGAGCAGAAATCTTACTGAAGCGCATCACATTAAAATCTGGAGCTTAATTTCAGGTAACATACACAGGAAAGGCACAGACGTGACATGAATTTAACTGTGTAGATCACAGCCAGCAGAGAAAGATCGGGTCGTAAATATGGAAAATCAAATTCACATATACACATGAGTCTCAAATAAATGATTTTCATTATAATTGACCATAAAAATGACGCGTGACCTAAAAAGTCCAAATGTGCTTGTTTACAATGTAACATTTGCTCGTGTTGGGCTCTTTGCTGTCCCGGCCCCTCTGCTCACTGAGATGATGCTCAGTGTTACTGACAACCTCAGCTGCCTCATTTAACCTGTTGTTAGTGAACTTCTCTTCCCGGAGAAGCAGTAAGCATGTGAAAGCTTCAGAATCAAACGTGAGGCGTCTGCTTGGGATCATTGATGTTGCCGATCAAAACATGAGTGTTTCTAAAGCCGGGCTGAGTCCCACACTTTGTTTCAGGCATTTAACCCCCGATGTCTGAACTCTAATACAGTGAAGCTCTCAGACTTTACTGCACACACACACACACACACACACACACACACACACACACACACACACACACACACACACACACACACACACACACACACCGACCGCCTGGTTTCAGATGCGAGTCAAACCTGATATGGGGCTAACTGTGGATCTTTAGTTTAAACGTGTTTGAATGATCGCTCCTGGACTTTACCCACTCAGATGTGTTTCGGGTAGGTTTCTGCTCATGTCCACACACACCTGTCCTTCAAAGATACTTTCTGTCACTTCCTTTAAAAGACGTTTAAAACCTTCCAGATGAACTAAAGCTGTGAACAGAACCCGAAGAAACGACTGCTGTGACTTTTAAGCTCATATCTCAGATTTGAACAGAGTTTCTCTTCAGAGCAGCGAGGTGAGCGGATCGATCCAAGTATCTATAGCACTAATACCAACGCTGGTTTCAGATCAGTATTTTTTTACTTTAACACTGCCACTTGATGTTCATTTGATTTTAAATGAAAATTGTCACCAAGCCTGCGGTATGAAACACATCTGAAGCTTCCTAAAGGCCTGTTTTACTGTGTGAACTCACACTGTGTTACGAATTTTCAGATTCATGACGATCCAGCTCATAAATCATGACTCTGCCTTATAAAGGCAGCTGTAGGGAGAGCACTGAGCTACTGGGATCTGTCATACTGTGTGTCGCATCAAAGCCAGAATTTGCAGTAGCACACAGCCTGCAGGTTCCAACAGAGGAAATGTGTGAAATGTGGACGGGCGATGTGAAAATTGGGACACTGACAGGATTTCTAACGGTGTAAGTTTCTGATCGTTCATTGTTTTGTGCTCTGAGAGAAAGCTACTCTCATACTTTCTCTTTTAGTCCAGCAAACCTTCTGTTTTTTCTTTCTTTCTCTTTTGTTCTTGTTCAAAGTACAGCTGACAGCTGTTTGGAGGTAAAGTCACAGACGTTAGTTCTTCACATTCTGCTGACACAGTAACTGAAGCTCTTCTCAAACAGGAACCGTGACGAGTATGTCTGTGGTTTTATACGTCCTCAGCTATAAACTGAGATCAGAACACTCAGAGAGACTCAGTAGTGGGACGAAATTCATTCACTGGGACGAACAAAGAAGACCCGATGAAGCAAGCGGTCCACCACAAAGATCCAAAGCATGGAGGAGGTTTTAAAAAAGGAACACATGCAGTAAATGTATTCCTACAGAAGCTGGGGTGGTGTCATAATTTAAAGAAGAAAAACTCGTGCTTAAACTTCTCAGCATATTGAAACATTGCCGTCTGAGCCGCCTCCACCTGCTCTGATTTCAGGCCCGTCTCCCAGGAGGCCGGCACGTAGTGTCGCGCTGATCTGTTAAATATTCTTCATTTTAACATCCGAAAATGTGGATTTTTATCCAAACTGTTGGCCTTACTGAGCGGGCTCTGCTAATCATTAACAGTGGTGGTTAAACAGTGAGTAGTTTGGGAGCTGAGATCATTAAAGAAGTCGTGACTGAAGGTGATAAATTTTGCCTTTACTTGAACTCCTCCTCTGACACACAGACAATTTATTTTGCCAGGAACATTTGAATCTCAAGAACAAAATGTTCTTTTGCAAGTGTCCTGATGACAATTGGCAGAGCTCCATTAGGTTAGTGATTACATAAACTAACCAGTGAGATAAAGAATCTGGATGCTTTCTCATACTGGGTCTGGTCTCGGTGGTCTCAAGGCTTCACCTGTGGACAGTTTTCTGATTCCAGCCAGAAGGAGCTTTGAACTTTGAACGACCGTGTCAAAGATGATCATGAGCTTTAGTGACAGCTCGAAGAAATAAGTCTCAGAGCTGAAGAAGGTAACTTCCCACAGTTTTCTGATGGATGGAGATCAGCGTGGAGTGAGAGTAGCTTTGTAAATAAGAACACGGCAGTCTTTGCAGCCTTCAGGGTGTTAAGGTTTACGACGATCCAGCATAATGAAGACACACATGCACACAAATAACACTGCCTCAGAAGAAAGGCAGGACCTGATTCTACAGTAAAAAACAGTCTCAGCTTCGGTTCGTTCATTACTTTCTGAATGTGAGTTGTAAGATCGACGGGCTCATTGATGTAGGTGTGCTGAGATGTCATAGGTTAGTAGTTTTCAAATATTTTGTATCCAAGGTCAAAAGTTTAATTATATCTGCAGAAAACTGACTTTTGTCCTCTGAACAGTTGTAAATTCTGATCATCTCATCAGACGAAGCCGTGTTTGGTGCAACTTTAGCTGATTGTATTTTAACGAGTAATTTGAGTCTCACGATTGTCAGTCGTCGTCGTCCTTGCTATGAATCAGACCCTTTCATGTGTACTAACACAGCGCTTCTGTAGCACTTTTGCACAGTCCAGCTGATATAAAGCAAAGAGTGAAACAATGTGGAAGTGCCTTAAACCTGCATTCGCTCTAACGGCCAGCAGGGGGCGACTCCTTTGGTTTGCAAAATCTACCATTTAAAACGGCTGTCAGCTCACTTTATCTTTGACGCCAGTGAACACGTCTCTGAGTCGTTTGAAGTCTTGCTGAATGCAATATTTAGTTCATTGTGTAAGTTTTGGTGATTATTAAAGACCAGGACGACCCAGGTATCCTCATTGGCTAATGACTCGTCAATCACAAGGAGCTGGTGGCTACACCCATCTTTGAATGGATTTAAAATGACCACTTGTGTCTATGATTCTTAGCGGTCCTAGGATGGACCCCTGGGGTACGCCCAGCTGAAAGTTCTTTCTTCTGCCTGATAAATCATTTTCATTCTGAAAACCCTGTAAACAACTGTTTGCTTTAATATTGTATGATGTACTGTGTTGAAAGCCTTGGACAGATCAATAAAAGGGCTGCACAACGTTTGTTGTTGTCTCTGACATCTATAAAAACTCGCAGACTGCTGCGGTCCTTCTGTTTCTCCCTGAATCCTGAGTGGAAATGAGTTAAAATGTCATTAAATTGATGGAAACTTCTGCAGTTCTTCATTAACGTGGTTAACGAAGAACTGCGTCAGCGGGTGTTTGATTTCTGCACCTCATTAATGCTGATGATTATAAACAAATAGACCACATAAACAAACAAACAAGCAATTTAAAAAATAAACAGACGGGGAAAAAGCTGTTTAGGTGTGGGCGAAGATCAGCACAGCAGCGGTTGAGCCATCGAGCTGGACTTTGCTCGTCGGTTTGAGCTGCGAAGGCGACTTCATCAATGTTTCATCACATGAAGCTGCAAAAGGCCAAAAGCAAGGGAGCGAGTGGTGTGTGAAAGCACAGCTGCACATTATCAGAGGCGATGAAAACACAGAGTGCAGCGCTGTGAGTTTAATGAGGTCGGCCTGTGGAGCTTTCTGTGTTTGGATTGAACGCAGAGGCGAGCAGGACGTGTCAGCGCGAGTTACGCTCAGTTTACTACATTCGTTTTTCCGCCTGGTGTCATGAAACGTTTGAAGGAAAGCACAGCGAGTTGTTTTAGGTCATTACATTACTGGTGATGTTACGTAACAGCCTCGCCTCACCTGTGACCTTCCTACGCATACTTCATCCCATAATAGCAAACAGCAGACAAACACTGATCTCTCTCTCGCAAAGAGGTCATCAGAGGTCACACACCGGCAATCTGTCCCTCACTGAGTCAATTCAGATATACTGCTCTCCATCCAGTCACTGATTTGACTGTAACCCTCAGACAAAGGTGGGTTTGTCCCATCATCAGCATTGACGAGGTGCAGACATCAAACACCCGCTGACGCCGTGAGCTGACAGCTGATGATAACGCAGCCAAGCGCTGGCTTCACAGGATGATGCTAACACGGAAAACGTAAACAGGATGCCATCAAAGCAGAAAGGTGGAGGAACAGGTGGAGTCACTCTGAGGTGTCCGTGACTAAAGAGCTGAGAAGATTAGAGGACAAGAACAGAGAGACATGAGAAAAGCACTTTAATCGTGATTCACGATCTCACTTTTTCCAGATGACTGAACATTCGTCTCCACCTATTACCTCAAACAAAAGGCTCTTCATCTGTTGTTTGTGCGAAATGCAGGGAATCCAGACAGTTTTCACAGACCGTGATGCTCAGAAATGAGCTTTGGTGCATCCTGTTTCCACTGATCATCTGTCGGATGTTTCTAAATCTGGCAGATTTAGGAAGCCACAGGCTTGTCTGTATAAGGTCCCATAGCTGCATGTTGGAGCACAAACCAAGCCATGAAGTCCAAGGAGCTGTCTGTAGTTCTCCGACACAGGATTGTATCGAGCACAGATTAACAGTGGTGGTTAAACAGTGAGTAGTTTGGGAGCTGAGATCATTAAAGAAGTCGTGACTGAAGGTGATAAATTTTGCCTTTACTTGAACTCCTCCTCTGACACAGACAATTTATTTTGCCAGGAACATTTGAATCTCAAGAACAAAATGTTCTTTTGCAAGTGTCCTGATGACAATTGGCAGAGCTCCATTAGGTTAGTGATTACATAAACTAACCAGTGAGATAAAGAATCTGGATGCTTTCTCATACTGGGTCTGGTCTCGGTGGTCTCAAGCTTCACCCTGTGGACAGTTTTCTGATTCCAGCCAGAAGGAGCTTTGAACTTTGAACGACCGTGTCAAAGATGATCATGAGCTTTAGTGACAGCTCGAAGAAATAAGTCTCAGAGCTGAAGAAGGTAACTTGTTCTGCCTTTTATAACTTAAATCAGATATTATAGTTGTAAGCTGCCCTAGAGCTCCCTCTAGTGGCTGCTTTGGGTTCGGTTACTTTGGGAAAGGAAAAAATGAGAACGTGAAGAAGAAATAAAAGATGGCGGAAAGTGATACCGTAATGTTATCGTTCTAAGCTGATAGGGACCTTAAAATGTTGTTGCCTTGGACAAGATATGTCTGTAAGTATGAGTGTCGATAAAATAACTATTATCTTTTGTTTTGTGTAAAAATGGTACGATAATTTGTACATTTGAAAGTTTTATCTTGTTAGCTTGCAGTAAGAGTGTAACAAGCTAGTTTACAATGTTAGTTAGCTAATACAGTATTTTGTACTTTCAGTTTTACGATGGTCAAAGAGAAGGCAATGGTCTGAGGCCATTCTTCAATAAATCAGCGCAAAAAGGAAAATACGTCTGGTTATTGGAGCATCGTTATCTCGCTGTCTAGCTGGTGAAACCAAGAGACTCAGGGCGAGGACAGCACATAACTTCTGTAGACCTCCGACTTAGGATTGTATCAAGCACAGAAAAGGCCCCAGTGAGCACAGCGGCCTCTGTCATCCAGAATGGGGATAAGGGATAAGTGCTTTAGTCAGGGAGGTGATGGCCACTCTGACCGAGCTCCAGCATCGCTCCTTAGAAAGAGGGGAACCTTCTTGAAGAACAATCATTTCTGCAGTACTCCACCAATCAGGCCTGTCTGGTAGGGTGGTCAGATGGAAGTCACTCCTCAGTAAAAAAAACACATGACAGCCCACCTGGAGCTTACCAAGAGGCACCTGAAGGACTCTCGGATCGCGAGAAACAAAATTCTGGTGTGACGAGACTGAGATTGAATGCCGAGCATCGTGTCTGAAGGAAACCAGGCAGAGCTCATCACGGCACCAACAGGGAAGCACGGTGGTGGCAGCATCATGCTGCGGGGATGTTTTTCTGCAGCAAGAACGAAGAGACTCGTCAGGGTCAAAGGAAAGATGAACACAGTAATCTGCAGAGATGTGCTTTCACCGTTCACCTGACTTTACCTGAGTAAACTAAAGAAACTCTTAAATACTCTGGAGACAATTTCCTGCATTATCAGGAGACGCATTTGCACAGGCGAGCAGCCTAAAGTAGCGTGATAACTGTCACGGCTGAGTAGCAGGTGTGTTTGTGGTAAGGACCCGAGGGTGATGAGGGAAGTGGAAACACCTGGGAAACACAGCTGACACAAATGCACCTGAACGCAGCAGGGGAAGTACAACTAAACACACTGAATATGGACACACAAGACTTTCAAAATAAAACAGGAAATATAGTGGAACGTAGACATGCTGTCCCTTCCAGGCGATCGTGGCTCAAGAGTTGGGAGTTCTCCTTGTAATCGGAAGGTTGCCGGTTCAAGCCCCGGCTTGGACAGTCTCGATCGTTGTGTCCTTGGGCAAGACACTTCACCCGTTGCCTACTGGCCATCGGGCGTACCGGGCATTTTTTTATATATATATATATATATATAAAAAAATAATGAAAGGTGTTGGATTGGCCAATTGGTCATGATCGACTCTGGGCTGGACCAATTACAGCCGAGGAGGCTGAATGCACCCGCCCCCTTGTTTAGCAATCACGTGATTTTCGCGCATTGCATGCCGGGAACTCGTGGCAAAACAATCCAAGTACCGCATCAAATGCAAGCATTTGCAGCACCGCAAAACGTTCATTCTCCGGTTCCAATACCTTCTTGTTTTTTCTTTGCCGCACAAAAAAGGAATGTACAAAACAAAAGGAGAACAATGCCGGTCCGTACAAAGACAGACTCGACGAAAAGACAAAGAAAAGATACGAGGA